ATGTTCGTCATTAATGATTCCGGGCTTCGGTTGTTGGCGAAAAAAAAAAAAAAAAATGTGACGACGCAGCGTCTCACTCGCCGACAAATTTTTTTTTATCGAATTCAACATGTCTTGTATTTAAACCAAAAGTATAATTGCCCCGTTTCGAACGTTTTAAATCGAAACGGTCATGACAAACTAAAAAAATTACCGTCGTGACGTAAAAAGCCGCCGACGCTCCGCGGATATTCCGCACATTCGCACCGCGAGCAGGTCATTGTTGTGGGCGTAATGTTTCGGAAGGTCATAAAGAATATAGGGTAATGCGACTGAAAGCACGACTAAATCAATGCGATGAAAAACGATTTGTTAAACAGTTATATAATACGTCTACTAACCGTCCCGCACGGTTTTGCCCGTGTCATTATTATCGAACGATAAAAAAATGAAAACACGTTTTCCCGTGGTTCTCGATAATTCCATCATCATCCCTATCACCGTAGTTCACTTTCATCACCCGAGAATGTTTAAAAGGGCATTTCCTCGCCTTGCGAATGTCTGTCGCGCTCAGCTCTGCCCGTCTACGGTGTTACACGGTCCAACGGTTTCGGAGATTTGCTGAGAAGTGACTAAGAACACTCTGTTTGACTTTCCATTACTAGCTGTCCCGCGCCCGGCGTTGCCCGTGCTATTTTTTTGTTTTATTATTTTTACCTTTATTTCCGTATGTTTAATTAAACGAAATAATTGGTGAAAAATGGATAGTCTGCGGACTAAAAGCGTTCTAGTGTATCATACATTTGTTTAATTCGTGTTACCAAAGTAGCCCATTTTATTTCAAGCCAATAATAGACTGGCAAACCGTCAGATAGACTCTTTATTTTAAGTTGTTATGGAATTTTGATTTCTGTTTATTATTTATTTACTTTTTTTTTTCATTTCATCCGTACGCTACTCTGGTAATTCATAATTCAACAGAAATAGTTTAATTTTCGTACCAATAATACCTAAAAACCTTTAATCCACTATTTCATCTCTTTCAAGTTTTATTTTCGCGACAAAACTTTCACATTTATAATATTAGTAGGGTGTAGAATAAACCTGTCTGGCCACATTTGTGTTACGGAGCCAAGTTTTTACTCGTCTCGTTGCTGAAAAATGAAGTTATTCGCCCGGCGGTTTTCGTTGCTGTTTTCGTCGTAAATACGTACCACGGACTATTTTATGAATTTTCGGAATTTTAACCTTCCCGGTTTCCCGTCTCGTGTTTTAGGTTTATCATCTAAAGCAAGCTCACGTTGCCGCGGCAAAATTACTGTTCGCCCATTATGATATTATACTATTATTATTTTGTTCGACGCGAAATTATTACATTATTTTCGTGATAACACCGTCCTTCTCTGGTAAACGATATTATTTTAATCATACACTATGAAGTTAATGTTTTTCGCACGTTCTACTATTATTACATTATTTTAGCGTGTCACCATACTGTAGGTACCAATATACGTCCGGAATGAAGTGCGTATAATATTTGCGTCTTCGCAAACTGCCGAATCCGCTGCGGGCGTTTTTTTGTAACTCAACGTACCTACGACTATTTTAATCCGACACATTGATGTATAATAATATACTGTAATGACATTTTTGTCCACTTTCAATGTGAACGGATTTTTTTTTTTTTTGATAATAACAATGTTCTCGTACGCGTAATCTCAAAACCTTAAACTCACGGGTCATGACAATAACGAATAAAAAAAAAAAACCACCGATTATTATAATAATAATACGCTTTGTTATTATAGCTAAATTTTGATACACGAGAGGGAAAACTGATTCAAGTTATAATTACTTGTACAGCGCGTCGACCGAATCTTTAACATTTCAATCGGCTCATTCGAATTTCGTATTCAGATTATAAAAAAGTGTGTGTTGAATACTTTTTATACGTGTATTATTACCTAATAATTTGTGAATAAAACTTTTGTGGAATTCCTGAATCCCAGGCAAATCGCAAGCGATTAAAAATTAGTTATATTTGATATTTAGCGACTTTAGGCTTCGATTAAACTAAACATTTGTATTTATGTTTTGGATTTCCTAGTTTTAACTAAAGTGCGGATTTATCGTAAAACAATACTAAAAATCGTTCGAAATGCATTGAAGTTGTTTCACTCGTAGGTATGCGTTTGGAAAAATATTGTTTTTAACATTTTACAATTTAATTAATTGAAGATAAAACGAGATTTGGTTAAATATTGTATAAATCCGAGAGAAAATTTTCGTAAATTAATATTTTCTTAAATTTTTTCAAAATTTCAAAAATTTGTCTAGGTTGTCGTTATATTTATGGAGATTAAAAAAAGAAACTAACAAGAAATGACGTTTTATTTTCATCGATTTCCCGGCTACCCATGCCGCACAAAAAGAAAAAAACACGACCAATAGCTTTTACCAGTTTATCAATCTCCGCTCACAGAATCGTTTTTTTATTGTAATGATTCATATTCATCAATTGATTTCAGTGTATAAGCTAAGTAACCCTATATAATGTTATCGTCCAGTAATTTCAAAACTTTACACATAAAACAGTGGCCTTATGACATTATGTTCGGCTTTTTATTATTGTTTCTGTTAACTTTCTAATAACCTAACCGACTTAAGTCGTCGGCGAGTTAATCAACTCGGATTTGTATTGTCTCGAATCAACAATATTTAAATGTGTTCATTTTTAACGCACACAACAGTCTCGTTAAATTACGTACACACGTATAGTAAGTAATACGATAAACAATTAACAATGTTATCTGTTAACGAAGAGGAAAAATGGAATTCAATGTTGTTTGTTCACTATTGACGAGTTAATAGTTTAAGTTGGTATTCCCACAGGACATTCTTTAAATTTTGTGAAAAATCTAAGTATTCGAAAATATCGGCTTTATTTACACTTAAAAATTCCAAAAATCAAAATCATTTGAACACATGTAAAATTTAACCAAAAAAAAAAAAATGGAGTGAGCATACTTATAGTGAATCATCCTGTACATATTTTACGTCGACGATACATTTATTACACCTACCTTCCCGGTATTTGTTTTTTTTAATCGTCGACATTCTGTTAAAACGTTTAACGCACTTTGAAAATCGTTACGCGCAGGTAGTCTTTCGTATGTAACATTCGTTACGCAACATTCAAAGTAAATATTATGTTATTACGTATATTACGTGTAATATATGTTTTTGTTTTTTTATAACTATATTGCAGAGGACAGCAGTTATTGACGTCCGACGGTTATAAGACGTGTAGGTATAGGTATATGTATGTATAATATGGGTACCTAATCGAACATCGAAAGTAAAATATAATATCATGGTAAATTATATTCAGTGACGTTGTATAAAAATTAAATTTGAAAATAATAATATCTATTGATAAAAATAAGCGAAAATTACCAGTAATAATTATCTATTGATTGTGGAGGTATAAAAGACAGACGTGAGCACCTACGCAGTAATTTAGGTACCTAGATGAAGATAAATAATTAGTAAATATTTTTTAAAATATACAAAAAAAAAATTAAAAAAATACTGACATACTTTGTAAGATGTCACTGTTGTAGATGAGAAGTTGAATTTAATGTATATCTGTATGCAACGATTAATTATTGCTAACGAAAAACGATTCTGAGTGGAGTTCGGTTATACATGTCGTAAAAAAAAATGCCGTAATATTTACGATTTTCGTCGTAATTAAGTATTAAAATGTTTATAAAAAAAAAAAGAAAAAAGAAATACTACATTAAACTCAACATGCTCTTATTGAACACTTGGTACGACTTATAATGAATCCCCTATTAAATTTCAAGCATTTTTGTTTGATCTAACAATTTTATCTTTTTTTTTTTTTTGCTTTCTAAGACAAAATGTATTTCAAGAACACATGACAGTAGAATAATTTGATATGTTCTAAAGCCTCCTCCATGGAGTATCCACCTCCTCACTACATGGAGTGAGGATCAGATTTTTTTTTTTATTTATTTATTATACCAACAACTCGTAACCAAGCTATTCTTACTGTTATCAATATATCTGTGATTATTACACATAGATACATTACATACGTATAGATTATAGAGACACACAAGCACACAAGCACGCACAAGCACACACAAGCACGCACACGCACACATATACATATATAACCGTTACCTCGAACCTTCATAAACAATACTGTTTAACACGTCTTGTCATTCGTGTTTACGTCAACAATCGGGTCAGATAGTTGTCATTCTCCTATAGAAACACATAGGTAAAGGATAACATATATAATTCGATTATTTCGTTTGTTAAATAACTATCGATAACAATATTCGATAGATCATTATAATCTACCCCTGAGTGCGAGTGTCGCTCAGTAGAAATTCTTCTATAAACCCGCCTACACGTTTATTTTATTCTCTACCGTTTTTCTAATCGTTGCAGTTTTTATAACAAGTATTTAATTATTATATTTTAACGTTCTCGTTTAAAATTAATAACACTATGTGTATTTTATTATGCAATAGCTGTAGAGGAAACGGTTAACTCATGTAATGGTTTTATTGCGGGTGGATATTCGAGTGAAGGTGTTATTGTCATCGCGCACGTACACCAAAAAGTCTCATCGTATAGACGTACGAGCGTATATTATCCTAAAAGGTATCGTATATTCCTACGATAGTGTGGGTGTCTATAATCTATATGTATGTATCTATGTGTATTAATCACAGGTATATTGATAACAGTAGGAATAGCTTGGTTACGAGTTGTTGGTATAATAAATAAATGAAAAAAAAAATCTGATCCTCACTCCATGGAGTGAGAAGGTGGATACTCTATGGAGGAGGCTTTAGAACATACCAAATCATCACAGATACATCAAAAATTAAATTTTGGTTTATCGTTTTTTCATTTGTTAAGTGGATTTTTACGGTCAAAAAGCATTTTTGGTTAGGTATTTCTTATTCTTCTGGCATTATCTACTCTACAAGAGTTTTTGCCGCCATCACAACTCCACACCACTTCTTTCGATCATGGATTATGTTTCTCCAATCATCTATTCCTATCCTTTTTAGATCTTCCTCGACCACATCCATCCATCTTTTCCTCGGGCGTTCTCGTGGTCTCTTACCCGTTGGTTTCCAAGACATTACTGTTTGTATTATCTTGTCATCACTTCCACGCATAATGCACCCAAACCACTAGATTCTCTGGTCTCTTATGTAATACTTAATTGGAATCATTCCTGTTTCTTCAATCAGTTCCTTGTTAAACTTTCTCCTCCATATACCAGTGTTCGCGTCTAATTTGGGTCCACATATCGCACGCCATATCTTGTTTTCGAAGGTAGTAAGTCTTCGTTCTGTTACGCTATCCATGCTTCGCATCCATATGTTAGTATAGCTCTCACTATCACTGTGTAGAGCCTAAATTTTGTTTTCTTTGACAGCGTTTTAGATTTGAAAAATTTGGATAATACAAAGGACGCCTTCCCTGCTTTTATTATCCTTAACCCAATCTCCTGTGACCAGTCATTCTTTGTATTTATACATACGCCAAGGTATTTAAACTCGTTAACTTTTTCATATATCCAGTCATCCGGGTCAGGGTCCGTTACATCTGCATCCGTGTCTAAAAGCTCTATGATCTTTGTCTTTTCGATGTTTATTTTAAATCCTATTTTATCTGCTGTTTTTTTTAAAACTTTCGTTGCTTTTTCTATGTCATCTCTGGTGTTGCCTATGATGTTAAGATCATCAGCGAAACCTAGGACTTGAATTTTTTGCTGGTTTATTTCTGGTTTCTTTGCTGGTTAGGTATTTAGGGAATTTAAATTCGAACCATGACAATAAGTCAAATGCGCTTTTAGTAAATATTCGGTACGAATTTTTTTTTTTCGAGAGGATGAAAGGAGGGAATTTAAATTATAGTAATTGCTAACAAATATTGATAAGTCAATATTATTTGCATTTATTGTGTATATTGTTGTTCGACACCGTATAGTTTTCAATCATGTTTGTTGTAATCGATAGTTAAGACGCCATTTTGATTAAATCATATACTTATAATATTTAATCAATGGTAATACGTTAAGCAATTGAAAAAAAAAAAGAAGCAAAATTACTCGTGCGTTAAAATGCGATAAATAAATAAAATACTACTGCAGTTACTACATACCTACAGCTCACAACAACGTGATTTATAATATAGACGGGGAAGGTAGGGGGAAATAACAAACCAAATGTCGATCTTGCGGATATTTATAAATGGCGGATTCCATACACAATATATAGACGTCTCGTTAGTAAATTGTGTTTGAGCTGTTTTACATCGTTTACATTTATCGTGTTAAATGGCTGCAGGTATAGCCTGCGTTCCGTATCATTATGGTATTCGATAAACCGCGGTCCGTGAAAATCAACAACGATTGTAATAATATTCTGCCCGTGTATAGTAATGTATCCACGGTATGAAATAAATAAAAATCAAAAAAATTAAGCGACGTCCGACTACATTGGCTTTTATTCGAAAAACAATGTTGTATTATAAATATATACGCGAACGCAAACGCGTTTTCCGTGACCTATCGTGAACGTCGGTCGTTAGTAAACCACGGGTAGGTAATGGATTCGAGTACGCACAGTACTTAAAGTTGGATTTATAGTAGGGCAGATCTATTAACCGAATTCCCATGGTGTAGTGTATGCCAATGGTATAAACCGCGTACACCCATAGCGTTATAAACCACGGCGGAGGAAAAGAATATTATCGATGTAACGTCAATATGTAATAACGTTTTTAAACGTGTTTCAAAGACGATATGGTAATATTATAATAACTGTGAGCTTACAACGTCAAAACACTCAATAATAATATTAATCTACATTCTACATCTATCTATAAATATATACAGGAGTATAAAAACCAAATGGCATTCACGCTTCACTGATTGACTCGTCACTGAACATCTGGTACCTATCACAAGAACGACACGGGTTTAAAAACTTGAAATTTAAGTTGTTATTCAACAAATAATGCGTTAACTCGTATAAAGTATTCCTATGCTGTACCATTTTTCAAAAGTCGTATTACTTTTTCCAAAAAATTGATTTCTATGTTTATTTTAAAAACATTTTTAGCTAGACAAATATTCTGGTTTTGTTTTTACTTAATATTCATACCTTAAAAACATACAACATATTTGCCCGGCGACACTATATTTGAAAAGTTTATCGTAATTTTCAGCGGTTATGTTCTGTTTTGTTTTTTTGGCGACGCGGGAAAAACTCGATTAACGCTATACTTTGCCCAGAATCGTCTTTCACTTGCAATGATTTATCGTTATACACAGTATATAGAATAAATTATCATGTATCACCTGCCTTTCTAACCACCCAACTATCTACAGCAGTTGCTCAACCGTGAGAAGTATCGACTTGTTTTTATAATTATTAATATAAATATGAAATTCGTATAATAATATACTTTATGCGAATTTTTATTTTGTAGCGTGCAATTATAATAGATAGTAATTCGAAACATCGTAAGTTGATAAAAAGGCGAATATGTGATTTTAGAGGGGTTTATTTCTAAATTCAGGCTTTACATTATAGTTATTATTGAACCTTTAACTTACGATTTTTTTCTACTTCTAATTGTGTATTGCGACATTTCGAAATTGTAAACGAAAATATTAATAATACTGCGGTTTGAGCTCGATCTTGTTAGTCTCGGTTCGTTTCTGCAGATTAGGGACCGTGATGACGATTATTATGTAGCGGTTAGTAGATAGGGGGCAGGAATCAAAGTTAATAGGTAAAAAAAACAATACAATTTTGATTCCTCGTAACCGTGTCCATTTATATAATTTAAATGGAGATAACATCATGGGTATATTTTTCAATCTCGGTATAATACACTATATATTAAGTGCAATCCGTTCGCCCGCAAGACATGCAGCACCCGTCTCAACGTAAATTGCCCGCAATAATTGAAATATTGAAGAAACCGAGATTCAGCACGTTTCTTCCGCATGCTAAGGATTATATATGGCACGGTTGTTTTAGTTCTTGAACGTATCCAGGAATAATGTATTGGTTTTACTATGTGAATTGGGTTTTTTATTTTTTTTTTTTTAAATTTTTATTTGCTATTTAAAATAGACATAAAATTTCTTTAACGCAATATAAAACGCACGAAAATTCGATTCAAGGTTCATCGAATACTTTATAGTGATATAAGCAACGAGTTATACTCAGTGGTAAAAAAAAAGAAATTTTGAACGTAATTAAGTAATAATTTTTTATTTTTTTCTTGATTCAATTTAGTTTTTAGGTTCAAATATCGATGAAAAATCGCGTATATTATTCTTTTCCGATACGAGCGGATAGCAGTTTTTCGGTTCCATAAAAACACTCGACAATATTTTAGACGTTGGGAGGGGGGAACACGAACAAACGCGAGTAATTTTATGTCGTGAAATATAAAAAGTGTTAACGGTCATTACGACATTGAAGCGACGTTCAAACAAAAAAGTAATAATTTACAGCAAATTAACATAATTTTTTTTTTATTACTCTCCTGGGCGATCGTTTAGCGCGGGATTTTCATGATGCGATCTCACGCGAACTATTACCGCCAATAATAATGATAATATATCACGCGCACACGTATTTTCGTTATGATTTATCGACAAACGCGGCCAGTGGCGACGAAATTCGAAACGTTTCGCGTGTAGGTTTTTTTTTTCTTCTCTCGACGTTCGAATATCTATCATAATAATATAAGTTTAACGTCAAAATCACGACGATAATAATATTAGTATTCGCGGCGGTTCTCGCGTGTAATTATTTTTACGATATAAATCATCTCGTAATATACGGTATCGTTAATCATAGAGACGCGTCGGGAACGAAAAAAAAATAAAATAAAAACCCAACAAAATCTCAATATTATCCGTACCTGCTTAATGCACACCCGTCTATTATAAATATCAACATTATCGCGATCGAAACTTACTCTTCGTTACAATCGAAATTGAAACATTCCGTTGGGAACATCGCCGACAAGTCGATGTTAGAGAGGACGCCATGCCCGCGTGATGTATTTTGCACCGCAGTCGAGACCGAGGCCCCGTACGAACGGGCAACGTAGCGAAACTCGGAACGTAAATATTGTGACGTTTACACAGTGGCGTGCCCGGGAATTTTTAACGGGAGGGGATGTAGCGAATAAGAATCGTGAATAAATCGTAAAACTCAACTACGGGAATTGGTAATTTCTCGATCGGTTCGCGGATCCTAAAAAAAAAAAGCCGGTTTCTAATCAATACATCGGGATTTCCCTCGTAACTTGGCTGAAAAAAACGCGTTTCGATATTAGATTACTCGTATGTTTTTGTATTTTTAAGCCAGTGGAGGGGGTGGATACAACTCCTAACCTCCATCCTCCCTGCGCACGCCACTGGGCGTTTAAGTTCGGATTAGAGTTTAAACGCAAACAATACGATTTCAAGAGGAGAAAATATTTCCGAGGGTCGTTGTACGTTTTATTTGCTTTTTGGAAAAAAAAGCAAATAAAAATACCGAAAAAGTCACAGCTATTTATACAGAAGTTAACACGACTACAGATTTGCTGTACGACGGAAAATTAACTGCGGCGTACTACGGCCTTTGTAAAAATTTGTCTTTTTACATTTCGTTAAATTTTGTGTTTAGACTCTGATCCGAACATGAACGCCACAATTCAGGTTTTAAGTAACGTAATTTTGCTATGCCGCCCGTTATTTAGACTCCGATGGAAGGTATATAGGCATAGACGCGGGTTCGTCGTTCTCTTATCGTTACGATACGAACGCTATTGGTATCTTTTGATGTTTCCGTTGACCCGGAGAAGACGGTCATCGATATTTTCTCGTGCTTTTTGTGGACCGAGTCAATACGTATAATTATATTTTATACACGATAAATCATCAAATTATAAAAAATAATAATAAAAAATACCATATCTGTTATATTATATAAAACTTTATAACGACTGTTATTATGCGAGTCCAATTATTAAAATATTGTGTAACTCCGGTATTTTTTTTTTTACCCATTTGACAGTGAACGTCAAAAAAAAAAAAAAAAAGTCTACGTCGATTATTTAG